ATTATTTGAGAGAGTACTCGGTTAGATGGAGAATTTAGAGCTATGGTGGATAGTTTAGCCTTCTTGAAAGAGATGGGTCTCACTCTCATTTATGATGGAACATAATCTCTCTACACGATTGAGGATATCGACGATTTGTTTGTTAAAGAAATTCCCTCTCTTGACGATTCGACCGTGTAATCTACACTAGGTACGTCAACCCTCTCTTTCGGTGAAAGTGCTTTGAGCTTTGATTCTATTGCGGAGAACGAGTGTATGCATTTGAGAGTTCATATGGTATGTGGAGTTGGAGAGAACTTATTAGAGGATTCGGTTGTGTCGAGAAAATTTGATGGTACTCGGGAGGATGATTTTGAGGAAGAGGATGCGGTAGTTCATGATGTTGTGGATGTTGTTGAGGAATATTTTGGACCATGATGTGATGTCGTGGACCTGAAGTGTGTGTTGATTGATGATTCTCATCAAATCTACGAGCGCGAAATTTTTTGCAAGCCGCGAGTCAGCGTCCGCGCACTCGAGCGCCAGCATGCCCGCGGGCACCGTTTTCGCGAGCGGCAACCAATTCCAAGGACCAACATTTGCGCCCGCGCGTGCTTTTCCACGCCTACAAACTATAGCCTACCCCCGAGCTCCTAGCACGCGCATGCACCTACCACGCCCAGCGCCCGTCTGCGTCCCCATGCCAGTACTTCAGTAGTCCACACCTGCGAAGCTCGCCCCACGCACGTGAATTGTCCAGCTCCAAGCCCATCACTGAAAGAATCCAAGCCTGCGCGCCCCAGGCGCGCCCAGGCCACTGAGCCACGACCTGCACCCTGGTGCACCGCCGCCGAGCCACCTTGCGCCGCCACTGGTCCACCGGGTGAACCACCGAGCCCTAGCGCACCCGACGACCGCTGATGATATTTTATGGCCGACAGAAAAAAGTTTCGACGACCGGCGATGTTTTTTGCCCTATTTTCTAGCGAACCTTCTAGGGTTCGTTTTCTGGTGGTCGTTGACATTTTCTGGCCGAAAACGGTATTTTCAACCTCACAGAACTGTTTCGAGCCATTAGAGACGTCGGAAACCTTATTTTGTGGCAATCTTACCTTCTTCACCCGTTTTTCGTTGACTTTTCACTCTCTTGGGGCTTTATTGAGGTTCATTGCTCGATATATCTTGCTCTTGGCGCCGATATCACCGCTTCACGAGGTACTTCACTTAGTCCAACTCGAGCCAATTGTATTTGAATTATGCGTGATTTTATTGAGTTGAGGGTGATTTATATTAAGTGTGGGGGAGGTGTAATCGGGCTTTCTTGAGATTGTATTGATAATTTAGAGGATTTATTGGTTGTTTTTGGTGGTGAGGCTCGTTGGGCGATATTGTTGATTATTTTGGTAGTTCGGTGCACGTTGGCATTTTGAGTTGAAATTTGTTCTATCTTGAGAGTTTGTTTGTACTTAGGGATTTGTATTGATTTAAGAAGGGGTGTACTTCATTGATTATGTCAGAAAGTCGGGAGCGTGTTGCCGATTTATTTTGTATGTCTCTATCTTGCGGTGTTTGATGGCGTTCCGAGGCTAGTATGGTCACTTATACAATCTTTGTGAACTCGACTTTGGCGTGATGGATCGTTTTGCATTGTTATATCTTAAGGAATATTTTGGTCTTAACGTGCGGATCTATTTTTTAAATTTTAATATTCTTTGGAGGCTCGAGCCGCGAGTGGAGTTTTGTTTTGTCACTTCCATATCATTCGGTGTTCGAGGCAATTTTTGGCGTGTTGATTGTCATTCTTTATATCTGGTACGTGCGACAAACCGAGTTTACATTTTCTTACCTTCTCTTATTTTATTTGTTTTTCTTGTTTCTCTTGCTTATGTGTTACGTTCTTTTAGTGCCTTTTACTTGGTCCCATTGCATGTTTATGTTTGTTCCTTGCCTTTTCCTTTGACTTGTTTGGTTACGCAATGAGGGCTTTGCGTTGTTTTAATTGTGGAGGAGGTTTTGGGAGTCTTGCATGCTTATGTAGTGGATTGGTCTAGTTTTTAGTTTTCTCTTTAGGTCTAGTTTTTAGGTTTATTTATCTTTGTTTCGTGTTAAATGGACCGAATTTTGTTTTAGTTTGTGTATGTTTGTGTCGCCTCCCCACATGAAGCTTAATGTTTGTTCGAAGTCAAAATGATTATGTGGTGAGTTAAGTTTGTCGTTCGGTTTCATTATTAATTATGTGCTCGATGAATTGAATAGTTTCCTAAAATTAAATGATGATTTGTTGACATAGGAACCCGCATTTGGGTTCAATGAATTGTTTTGTCCCTTGTTGTTCTCGATTAGTGATCTTGAAACATTCTTGCCTTGTGATTCAATTTTTGTAATCGTGTTAGGCTTAGACATTTGTGGTACGTCTTATTGATTATTGATGTTCATGTTATTGTATTTTTTATATATCCTTGTGTGTCACTCCCTTCGAAGAAAAAAAAGAATAAAATGTGAATTCGCGTGGAAGTACGGATTAAACTCTTCTTATTTTGATCCACTTCATGGAATGAGATAATGAAACCGGGAATCGGTTTAGAAGACTGGGGGACAAACCCCTTGAGGCTAAACCAGGATAATCTTGTCCGGAAACCTCGTTTGGAAAAAGAAGCTCATGGAAAATGAGCTCGTGGGAGTTGAAAGGATTAGACTCCGCTTGACCCGGTTAGTCCCTTTATAGATAAATCGGGGCAATGAGTATGGGAAACCGGCTTAGGAGACTCGGGGACAAACCCTGAGGCTAAACCTAGATAATAATCGTCCTAATGACTCTCATTTGGAAAAAGTGACTCATATATACAAAAAAAATGGGGAGTTTGCTATATGGTTTCGTTCTTATTTGCCTCTTATATGTTGAGTAGATCGTTCAAGCTTTTTGCACGTGTATTTAGAAAAAAAGGAGTTTGAATCGAGTAAATCATGTGTAGAATGACTTGAAACGGGTTTTTGTTGTGTATGAATTCATCTTTTGGGGACCGTGTCTTCGAATTTGAGTTCAATTTTGGGGATAACCGGAGGAAGTCGAGAGTTTCATTTCGCATGCTTATTAATTTTGCACCGTTCGATTTTGTCTTCTCGAGCTTCTTTTTGTTTTCTCTGCTTGAGGACAAGCAAAGAGTTAAGTATGGGGAAGTTGTTTTGTATGTTTTTGTTATTATTTTGTGTGTCTTTATGTGCGTTATTTTTGCTCGTTTTATTTTATTTTAGGTTTTTCCCATCTATTTAGTCGTTTTTTGCTTGTTTTTGTGTTTTCGTGTTGTTTTGGTGTCTTGTGCTTTTTATTTCAATTTTTTAATTTTATTTTGTAGGAATTTGCGTTCTGAAAAGTCGTCGGAAAATGCTCAGAAAGTTGCCAAAAATCACTGGAAAAATGGCCAGAGAGTTCCCGACTAGTTGGCTCGGTTAGCACCCGGTGGTCCTGTGACCTAGTCAAGACCTGCACCATGCCCGTGCGAGCCCGAGACCCCGCGACCGCGCTCACACAGTTCGCGCCCGCGAACCCGCGAGTGCCCATCCCAGCACACCGCGCCTCGCCCGCGAGTTCTGAAGTCGCGCCCGCGAAAGGCTCTGCTGCCCGCGAGTGCCTATCCCAGCATGTCGTGGCTCGCCCACCAGTCTTGAAGTTGCGCCCGCGAATCGCCTCCTAGCTCGCGAGTCCGCCATTGCCCGTGTGTTCAACCAGCTCGCGAGTCCGCCATTGCCCGCGAGTTCAACTAGTTGTGCCCGTGGAAATCCATGCCCAGCTCACGAGTGGCTACTTACTCGCGAGTTCCCCAGCGTCCAAGCCAACACTCGCGACCTAGCCATTGCTCGCGAAAATGCCACCTTAGCTTGCAAGTTCAGCCTACCTTGCGAGTTTTTATCATTAAATGTGTGTGTTTTAGTGTGTGTTTGTGGTGTAGCTATAAATAGACTTGTTTCTTTGTATTTTGAGGACCACCCCTCATTTCCCAACTTTTAAGTTGGGAAATATCTCTATTTTATCTCTTTTATTTTTATGATTTGGTTTGGAGTTCAATTAATCTACTTTTCCAGCGAAATTTCGGTAATTTTATTTCTATCCAAGTTATGAGCTTTTCACTATTCTCGCCCGGGCCTGCGATAGGAGAGTAGGTACCTTGCTTAGGCCTTACTACTTCGAGTTTGTCTTTCGTATTATGTGTTTATGCTTGTTTCGAGGCTTTACTTTATTTTTCTTGCTTGCTTAGGTGTGTTAGGAATTCAATACGTGCTTATCTTGTGTAAAAGTCTCGACTTTGTGCAAAGCGGAATGATTTACTTAAAAAGGCTCGTGTTAGAATACCTATAATCACTTAGCTAGCATATTTCTCTTTGTTTATTTTCTTTTTCTTGAGTCGTGGAGATTATGTTTGACCAAAGTTTCAATCTTTCTTTTAAAATTTGCATCTTGCATCATTTGCTTTCATTTGCTTAGCGTAATTTTGTGCAATCCAATCACATCAAGCGAATAGAATGTGTAAGACCTTGTTTTCGGTTATGTGACTTTGACAACTAGGTAGTGAACGACGCTCCGAATAGCCTTTTCCTTTGAAAACGATCCGAGTTCGGGTAGCTCGGTTACCACATAACCCACAAAAACTACAAACAGGATTTCAAATAAAATATTTATTTTGGTTGATATGATGAATGTGAGATTTTAAAAAAAAAAATTATATCAAAATTTAAATATAACTAGACAATAGTCTGTAAATTCCACAAGCCAGGATCTAAAATGACTTTTTTTTTTATAGTTTTTTAA